CCCACACTCCACCTGCACATGGGTGGCCCTCAGCAGACATGTATGGAACGAATCAACAAATACATGAGCAAAGGAAGAACACCCAGGGTCTCTGTTCCTCTAATTTTAGATCACACGTGGGGAGAAATTCTGCTGAGCTCATCACTGGCGCGGCAACCACAAAGGATGATTTTTCAGCACAGCCTCACTTTCTTTGGTCCCCAATAGCCCACAGATGCTACTAAACCCAGTTTCATCTTGACACTATTGAATGGCTTTGTGTGCCAGGAACTGGGCTAGAAACTGGACATATGAAGAGAAGCAAATCATGATCCTGACTTCAAAGGACAAGTTTCAGGGAGGGGAAGGCAGGATCGAGGTGGGAAAGAAAGGTGCCCACACCATGTGACTCACGTTATGGCAGCAGGGGCGGGGGCTTCGGAGCGGCAGTGGTTCAGGGAGCTGGGGTGGCAGAAGAGGCAGGGCGCGGGGGGTGGGCAGGCCTCAGAGGGTCCTGGGGGGCAGGCTAAGGTGTTTGGACTTTACTCTGTGGACCAAGGGCCACCAGTAAAGGGCTTGAAATACACAAGCCAAGTAGGCAGATGGCAAAGCTTCTGTCCACACCTCAGATGGCGGGTCTGAATACTGACTCTGTACAGGCCTGATGGGACTCTGACTTCTGTCCACTGAAAAAGACAAGGCTGTGGGAAGCAAAATAATGATAAACATCACTTTCCCCATCAAAATGAACTCTTCCAGGCTGGGTGCGGTACTCACGCCTGTAATCCCAACACTTTGGGAGGCCGAGGCGGGCGGATCATTTGAGGTTGGGAATTTGAGACCTGCTTGGCCAACATGGAGAAACCCCATCTCTACTAAAAATACAAAAAATGAGCCAGGCATGGCGGCACACGCCTGTAGTCTCTGCTACTCAGGACGCTGAGGCGCAAGAATCGTTTGACCCAGGAGGCAGAGACTGCAGCAAGCCAAGATCGAGCCACTGCACTCCAGCCTGGGTGACGGAGTGAGTCTGTGCCTCAAGAAAAAAAAAAAAAAAAAATGAACTCTTCCAAATGCTCAGCTCCACACAGTGGCCCCCCTCTTCCAGAAGTGCCCCCCCCCCCACTTCTCAGTGCCCACCCCCCCAGGGCACCTACGGGCTCCAAGAGATCCTGACCCAGTTCCTCCTATTTGGCTCTGCTCCAGCAGCTGCCCAGTGAGCCACACCAGGGCTGGGGCAAGGTGGGGCCATGATGTAACACTTTATAAAACAAAAAATCCCGGGACTTCCACTTAAACAGGAGCGTCCTCTGCTTCCAGCAGATCTTTTGGAGGAGCGCCACTTCTCTGATGACGCCACTGTTGCTCAGAGGAAGGAGAGCCTCCCGGAAAGCTGCTTTCTATGCCTCAGGCACGCCATTCGGATTATGAATAGAGATGGCACACTTTCCACCTTGGGCGGTGGATTGCATTTTTCAGAAACATCTAAAACAAGTCAAAGTTAGAGAACTGGTGAGTAGGGAAAACTATTTTTGGTCAAACATCCAGATTGGACTAGAGCATCCAGTGACTAGTCCCCGTTGCTCAGGTGTCCTGAGTTACGGTACCCTTGCCAGGGCACGTGCTAACCTTCCAAAGTCCTCCTGGGGCTGGAGGTCATAAACCTCCTCCACAGTCCACTCTTCTATGCTTCTGGAAGGAGTTCGGTGAAGTAGAATATGACCATGGACACATAAGCAGGGCCCGAACCCATTTTCCAGAAAGCTCTCAACATCACAAACATTACAATATTGAGTAATGGATACACAAATTCTTGTAGTTATTGTCTTCTAATTCTTTTCAGTAAGGGTGATGCCGGGCACGGTGACTCACACCTATAATCTCAGCACTTTGGGAGGCCGAGGTGGGCAGATCACTTGAGGTCAGGAGTTCAAGACCAGCCTGGCCAACACGGTGAAACCCCATCTCTACTAAAAATACAAAAATCGGCTGGGTGTGGTGGTGAGCACCTGGATTCCCAGCTACCTGGGAGGCTGAGGCAGGAGAATTGCTTGAACCCGGGAGGCGGAGGTTGCAGTGAGCCAAGATTGTGCCACTGCACTCCAGCCTGGGCAACAGAGCAAGATTCCATCTCAAAAAATAATAATAAGGGTGACTGCTTAAGTCTGCCATCACCTATATACCTTTATAAGCCTTTTCATGTAAGTTAGCAAAGAATAAAAAAGACACCTCCTTCAGCAGACATGTTTTTGTTTTCTGAATCAAACATCAGAAGGCAAGAAGAAACTGAGCTTTCACCCATCCAGTCCAAACACCCCCATTTACAGGTAGGTAGCCTGAACCCAGAGAGGCAGAGCGATGTCCAAGCTTTCGTAACGAGTGGCACAGGGTGAGGGTGGGAGCCCAAGGACACGTAAGAACACGGGAGTTGGCCCCAGAACTCAGGTGGGATGACTAAGCTCTTAGTAGCATGTCCAGTGAGGTATCTGATGTTTTCATTCACTCTTTTAGCACCACACACAGAAATCTCATCTTCAGCCAGGTACGGTGGCTCATACGTGTCATCCCAGCACTTTGGGAGGCTGAGGTGGGCGGATCACTTGAGGTCAGGAGTTTGAGATCAGCCCAGCCAAAATGGCAAAACCCCATCTCTGCTAAAAATACAAAAATTAGCCAGGTGTGGTGGTGCACACCTGTAATCCCAGCAACTCAGGAGGCTGAATCACCTGAGCCCAGGGGGCAGAGGCTACAGTGAGCCGAGATCATGCCACTGAACTCTAGCCTGGACAACAGAGTGAGACTCCGTCTTAGAAAAAAAAAAAACTCATCTCCACGTGATTGGCATCATGTATTTTTACAAGGATCTGTTGCTTTTCTCCTAAGAAAAAAAATAGTAAGGGAGAGGATGAAGTTTACTGAAAATACATTGAAAGACAATAAAGTCATGCATCTTGAGTAAGGCCAGGTTTAGTCACCACCATCTGAGCTTCTGGAATCCAGGTGAGTGGCTGGGTTTCATGACTCAGGCCTTGTCCACAGTTCTGCTGCCAAGGCCCTCTCAGGGTCTTCCTGCAGCTGCAGAGCAGAGCTCCGGGGAAGCAGTCAGCCTCCTTCCCTCCTGTTCCCCCTGCTAAGCTATCCCCTCACCTTCCCAGAGGACAGTGCAAGCATGTGGGCAGGAGTTTGGGCTTTGAGGTGGGTTGGTGGGAGAGGAAGGTATGTGGGCGACACCAGTGTGAGTGGCTTGTGTGTGCCACCTGGAGCACTCCCGGCTCCCTGAGGCCTCTATCTTCCAGTTAAATGTTTCTATCTGGCCACCCCAGGCTGCTACGGGGTGGGGGTGGGGGGGATACCACCTGCCAAGACATCCAGGCCCTCTGCTGGGAGGCTGCGTACTGGGCACTGTTGGGAATGACTGGCTGGTAGGTGTGCCAGGAAGCTGGGCATTTCTGGTAGGGCAGGAGACTTCCGGAGTGTGAGGAAAATTGCGTCATTGGAACAAAGTGTTTCCTTCCAGAGAGGCACAAAGTCCGCAACACCACTGAATCAAAGATGTCCCATTGAGAACTGGAGGCTAAAACGTTCTCTGATGGGTTCTGATGGTTAATGTCATCAACAATTAAGCTTGTTAAGGGTGAGGCTAACTCCCCTCTCCCTCCCTGTAGCCCAGGGCACGTGGGGCTGGGTGGGTGCTCAAGGACTATGCAATAAAGTTGATAGAGGCATTCCACCCCGACATCGCTTCACCTAGGAAGAAGACTCACTTCTGCTTAGGGCTCGCCTTTGCCCTGTTTCTGTTTCTCTGGAAGTCGCGCCTGCTCCAGGAAGAGCTGGATCATCCATTCATTCATTTATGCATGCATTCATTAAATAGGTATCGCTGACTGTGCCTGAGACCCGGCCTTGGGTACCAGGGAAGGTTTTCAAAACCTCACAGGGCTTTGTAGCTATACAGATATGTAAGGATCCTTGGGTCATCTGAGGCCCAGAGAAGAGAGGTAACTTGTCCAACAGCACACAGCAAGTGGACAGCTGGCTCCTCCGACCCCACCGCACCCACCCAGGGCCAGATCTAGATCTCTCCTCTCTTTAACTCTTCACAGGCCGCACTCCAGTCTGCCGAAGTCCCCACCCTAAGAAGGAACATATCCTGTCTGGATTGTCTAAAAGGGAATGAATGGTAAAAATGAAAGGAAAAAAAAAAAAAAAAAGCGTTCCCAGTTCAAGTCCAGAGCCTGCAAGGTGCGGGCATTCCAGCGTGGCCTGGGGTGAGTGGCAGTCCACCTCCAGAGGCGTCCCCTGGCGCTCCTAGGGACTCGAATTTCCCACGTGGCTTTTTCCCTTATGCATTCACTGTTTAGCTGTTTTTGGTCCAGGCATTTTGGGACTTCTGTAACTTTCAGAGCGCGCCAGAGAGCCGCCCTTAAAGACGCTTCGTTACTAAAGAGCTCTATCCAGTAGAGCGGAGGGTACCGTGGGCGCCTTGGGGGCTCAGGACCTGGCTCCCCTCAAGCCCTGGGTGGGTCCAGGCTTCACTGGAGAAACCACCTCCGTAGGCCAGGCCACATCTAGTTACAGGACACCTTGATGTTACAAAGACGAGACTTCCAGCGCGGGGGCGTGAAGGCGACTGCCAGCCTTGCCCCCGCCGTGCTGGCGACTCCCGGACGCCCCTTCCCTCCCGCGCCTCTGCTCCCTCGCTAGTGGGAGCGGAGCGGCACCGGGATCACCTCCAGGTCCCTCGCACCAGAGCGGCGGACGGCAGGGTCCAGAGTCCGCCTGGAGGGGCCCACGTGGCCAGCACACTCGTCCTCGGCTCGCGATTTCCCTTTTCCGCCCTCGGGCACCAGGCACTAAACGCCAGGTGGAAGCACAACTCTGGAGGCGCAGGTTCCGCCATTCAGCCGCCGCGGCACCAGGGCCTGAGGCGTAGTGCGCGTGCGCGGACCAGCTCCTAGCGGGCGCGGCCGCCGCAGGGCGGGGAGGGGCGGTGTCGCCGCAGGGCGGGGAAGGCGGGGCGCGAGGCCGGGGGCGGAGGGCACGCGTGCGGCGGGCGGCGCTCGGAGGCGCTGACGTCGGCCCGCTCGCGCCCCGCCAGCTCCACGCGGGCCCGGGTTGGCCGCCGCCGAGCCCCCGCTCCTCCCCCGGCGGCGTCCCGGCCGGAACCGATCGCGGCTGGTTTGAGCTGGTGAGTCTCCATGGCGACCCGCCGGCGCTATAAGTAGGGAGCGGCGCGCCGTGGGGCTTTGTCAGTCCCTCCCGTAGCCGCTGCCGCCGCCGCCGGCCGCCCCTCTGCCTGCAGCTCCGGCGCCACCTTGGGCCGGCGTCTCCGGCGGGCGGGAGCCAGGCGCTGACGGGCGCGGCGGGGGCGGCCGAGCGCTCCTGCTCTTGCGGCTGCGGCTTCTGCCCCGGCGACTGCGCTTCCCCATGGGGCTGGCCCGCGGCACCCGGGCGCTCTGAGGTGAGGGCCGCCTGGTCGCGGAGGCAGGGAGGTTGCGAGGGCGGGAGCCGGGGCGGGCGGCGGGCCCCGGGCACGTGTGCGGCGCGCCTCGCCGGCGTGCGGAGACACGTGGTCGCCGGGCGGGCCGCGACCTTTGGGCGCCGCTTCTTTCGGGCCCGGGGGTTTCCCGCGGCGGGACGGAGGTACCCCCGGCGCCGCGTCCTGCCCGCGTCTTCCCAACCCGGGGCTGGAGAGGCTTGGCGGAGACCCTTCCGGAGACCTGAGTCCCGGCTCCGGCTTCTTCCCCAGCCCGTCGGCGGCCGCGCGCGGGCCCGGGAGCCGTTGGGGAGGCCCTGGCGGGCGCGCGGCAAGTGCAGGGGAGCAGGGCCCGGGCTCGCCTTCGTGCAGATGAGCCGGGCCCCGGCCTCGGTACCTTCAGTTTCCGTCTGGTTTTTCGCTGTGTGTACAGAACAGATGACACCAATTTGGAAACCGCGGGAGTGGGTAGAGCTAAGATAGTCTTGTAGCTGTGATACTAGATGCTCGGCCAGCCATGACTTGGAGGTATTTATTTAAGGACTCTGAATGACTAGGTAATTTCGGAACAGCTTGGCGCGGGTGAACGGATGGTGCACCGGGGAGCCAGCCCTAAGGTTTTCGGAAAAGGCTGATTGTGCTGTTTGCGAAGCCGAAAATAATTGGTGAAAGTGTAGAAGGCAGCACCTCCCAGGAATAGGTCTGGAGAGGACAAAGAATGTGTTGGCTGACTTTGTTTAAACATCAAATTGGGCCGACCTTCATGACTTGTGAAATGTTTTCAGAATTTGTTTGAATGAGCCCATTACCCTCTTGTGTTAATTGAGTGACCATTTTAAATAACTTAGCTGTTACAGAAAGAGCAAAAGGTGTTCTTCAGTAAAATATATTCAAGTTACTTAAGTGAGGCTTTAAAAGACACAGAAAAGCAAAAAAAAAAAAAAAAAAAAGTTGCATATTAAAAGTGAATTAAAACTTTTCAAGTTTAGGCCTGAATATTGCTTTAAAAATATTTAACAAGGCCTTAATTGGTCCACTGTGTGACTGTGTGAGCCTATTAAATTGTAAATAGTCTTTATATAAACAAAAACACATAACCATCTCTAAAACAAAAATGATTTTGTTAGTGTTACTCTCCTGCCTTCTCTGAGAGGTGATTTAGCCAACTTGCAGATTGACAATGCCAAAAAGTCACATTAGATAGAGCTTTAAAGAAGCAACTTCTGCGATGCATGGGTTTGGATTTATGACAGGCCCGTCCCCCTGGGCCTGTCGTAGTAACCCATGCCAGAGCAAACTGTGTCCCCAAACCATTGCCTGGCCTCTGTGCCCGTAGGCTGCTGGCGCTGAAGTGGCTTGCACAGTGGAAAAGAAGAAAGCTCTACTCTACCTGGCAGAAATTTTTAAAGGTTAACATAAATAATTTTAAGAAAACGGGTTCACAAGTGCCACATTTCATGAAAGCCAAAGACAGTGGCTTTTCTTGTTACTAGCATGATGTTCTTGCTGATTTTTCTTGTTGGTGCAGTTAGCCCAGATTATTCTCAGGGGGTTTTATCTCATAGCTAAGCAAATACGAGAGTGCCTGCAAGGACAGTTGGCATTCCTGGAACTGCTAAACTTGGTAGGCAACACGGGTTTAAGGATACCGAGTTCTGATCGGGTAGCAGCAACTGCAATACAATGTGATGAGTTGACTTGAAGATTACAGTTTTGTAAAAGTATATACCCAGCTAATACATCAAAATTAGCTTGTCAAATCTCCAATGCTCCAGGCCATTTCCATGATGCCTGTTGATCAGTAAAAATCATTCTAAGACTTAGTGGAAGTAGGAAATAGCAAGGTATTTGTATGGCTGTATATAAAGGCTGTAGTGTAATCCCAGCACTTTGGAGTCCCAGATGGGTGGGTCACCTGAGGTCAGGAGTTGGAGACCAGCTGGACAATATGGCGAAACCCCCGTCTCTACTAAAAACACAAAAATTAGCCGGGTGTGGTGGCAGGCACCTGTAATCCTGGCTACCCGGGAGGGTAAGGCAGGAGAATCACTTGAGCCCGGAAGGCAGAGGCTGCAGTGAGCCAAGATCACACCAGTGCACTCTAGCCTGGGTGACAGTGTGAGACTCTGTCTCAAAAAATAAAATTAAAAAGTAATAAAAAGGCTATAGTGCTGTTTTAAGTTGCTAAAGAACTGAAACCTCTGAAATACAGCAGACCATTATAAAACTTTTTTCCGTATCAGTGAGGTAAGTGCAGATAAGCTCCTGAAACTTGCATTCGACATTTTTTTGGTACAAATAGTTGAAATGCTTAGTGTGCTACCTTGGAAAAACCTGGTATTGAATTTGTGGTGTCCTTACACTGCCAAGGTTTATGGAATCACGTGCCTTATACCTAGTAATGATTGGGATGACTAGGCCAGTGAGTGACTGGTTCATATCTGGAGCATGATTAGCACCGCGTGTGCTCCGAGTTCTGCATCTTCAACTTGATGTGTTCCTGAGGTAGACAGCAAATTCTGTGTTTTTATGTCTCAGATTGTCACTGCTGCTCCAAGGGCACGCGTAGAGGGATTTGGAGTTCCTAGAGAGTTGCCTTTGTGAAAAGCTGGGAATACTTCTTTCAATCCATCTCTTAGTTTTCCATGTAAGTATTCAGTTTACATTTGTGTTGCAGGCTGATCTTAAGGATTGTATTGCTAAGGCTTCTGAGTGAATTTCTCCCGTCTATTTGCATTTTGTTGCATTTCAGAGGAACAGCAAGAAATCATGAACAGCTTTGGTAATGAAGAGTTTGACTGCCACTTCCTTGATGAAGGTTTTACTGCCAAGGACATTCTGGACCAAAAAATTAATGAAGTTTCTTCTTCTGTAAGTATATGAGGTCCATGCTGGCAGTGCAGCTGAGAGTGCCAGGCAAGTGGAAAGCTTTGGCAAGGTCTAAGGAAGAGCAGTGAGACTTACACGTCTTGTTAGGGAATGTAGAAATTAATTCACTGGTGGTGAAATAATAATGATAATATCAGTACTCATATCAATGGCTACATTCAAAAGAGCAGGATTCATTGTGACTGATGGGAAAGAGAAGGTTGCTGGCTGTCGGTGTGGTGTGGTAAGGCTGCTAGTGAGTCACCCGTGACCACTCTTGTTTCAGGATGATAAGGATGCCTTCTATGTCGCAGACCTGGGAGATATTCTAAAGAAACATCTAAGGTGGTTAAAAGCCCTCCCTCGTGTGACTCCCTTTTATGCAGTCAAATGTAATGATAGCAGAGCCATCGTGAATACCCTTGCTGCTATTGGGACAGGGTTTGACTGTGCTAGCAAGGTAAGCAAAAGCAACAGCTCTCAAAAGCACTTGTATAAAATGGTCCTTGTGTTCCCCACAGGGCAGATGCAAGTTGTGTTTTTTGGGCAATAAACGCTCACTAAAGGGAGGTGGCGGTGGGCCGGGGCACATGACAGCTTCCCATGCTTTTCTGTTTATTCCACCTGTTAGCCGCATATGGATAGCATGACACCATTTTTCTTTTTCAGACTGAAATACAGTTGGTGCAGAGTCTGGGGGTGTCTCCGGAGAGGATTATCTATGCAAACCCTTGTAAACAAGTATCTCAGATTAAGTACGCTGCTAATAATGGAGTCCAGATGATGACTTTTGATAGTGAAGTTGAGTTGATGAAGGTTGCCAGGGCACATCCAAAAGCAAAGTGAGTTATTCCCCTATCTGAGGGCAAGATCGGGGGCATAAGATATGTAGATTCTTATCAAACAAATTTAAATTTCTGATGATTGTATTTCTCTACTTTAGTAGAAAGTACTTGAAACCCTCTATTGGGTCGCGAAGCTTGATTATTAGACTCAAACTACAGAATATATCAGTGACAGTATAGAACAAGATTGTATTTTCATCGCGGCTGTCAGTGAACGTCTATGGTGAGACATATGCTACACTTTGCTTGCTTGTAGGTTGGTTTTGCGGATTGCCACTGATGATTCCAAAGCAATCTGTCGTCTCAGTGTTAAATTCGGTGCCACACTCAAAGCCAGCAGGCTCCTTTTGGAACGGGCGAAAGAGCTAAATATCGATGTCATTGGTGTCAGGTGAGATCTTGGTGGCATAGCTAGAGGCCAAGACATTAAACCGTTCAAGTTTTACAGGCTTTCTCCCAGTGTTTGTTATTATTTTAAGAAATACTAAGCCACAGTGTCTTCGTCTCTTTATTTACCCTAGCTTCCACGTAGGAAGCGGCTGTACCGATCCCGAGACCTTTGTGCAGGCAATCACGGACGCCCGCTGTGTATTTGACATGGCGGTGAGTATATGTGACCCTGTTAGGGAAGGGCAGGGCACAACTGACAATAATTAATTCTAGAGTTAACTTTTTGTGGCAGTTGGTCCTGTATTACATGGGTTTAAACCTATCTGCGGCATATGTTTTTGTTACTAGCTGTGGATGTGGCTGACTTATTTTCTTGATTCTAGGCTGAGGTTGGTTTCAGTATGTATTTGCTTGACATTGGCGGTGGCTTTCCTGGATCTGAGGATGTGAAGCTTAAGTTTGAAGAGGTAATTTAGAACAAAACTATAATACACAGTAGCTGTTTTAGCGAATTTCTTTTTGGAATATTTCAAAATTTAAGTTTCTTAACAAATATCGAAATGGGCTGAAGTGTCCTGGTGTGATATTTTGAGTGATTTCTCTGTGCTATCTAACATTGCACTTAATACCATTTGGTTTTCTTTTTTTTTTTTTTTTTTTTTTGAGATGGAGTTTCGCTCGTTACCCAGGCTGGAGTGCAATGGCACGATCTCGGCTCATCGCAACCTCCACCTCCTGGGCTCAGGCAATTCTCCTGCCTCAGCCTCCTGAGTAGCTGGGATTATAGGCACGCGCCACCATGCCCAGCTAATTTTTTGTTTTTAGTAGAGACGGGGTTTCACTATGTTGACCAGGATGGTCTCGATCTCTTGACCTCGTGATCCACCCGCCTCGACCTCCCAAAGTGCTGGGATTACAGGCTTGAGCCACCGCGCCCGGCCACCATTTGGTTTTCTAAAGAGCGAATCAGCTTTCCCAGAAGTCTTGGATAGTTGGTTACATTGGAAATCGTGGCTCACACCTGTAATCCAGCACTTTGGGTGGCTGAGGTGGGAGGATCACTTGAACCCAGGAGTTTAAGACCAGTCTGGGCAACACAGGGAGACCCTGTCTCTACAGAAAATGTAAACATTAGCCGGGTGTAGTGGCAGCGGGCACCTGTAATCCCAGCTACTTTGGAGGCTGAGGTGGGAGGATCACTTCAGCCCAGGAGGTTGAGGCTGCAGTGAGGCGTGATCATGCCACTGCACTCAGCCTGGGTGACAGAGTAAGACCCTGTCTCCAAAAAAAGATTACAAATGTTGCTGTGGTCTTTCCAGAGTGTGTGCTGACTGTAGCAATCATTACCCCAAATGTGCTTTCCTAGACCTGTGCCTCCTCTCCTCAGAATATTTGAAATGTTTAGTCACTTAGGAAGTTAAGCCATTATATTGGTGCTTGAATTTATAAAATACATCCACATGGTTTGTTAAAATCATGATGTAGGCAGAATAGGATTTTTATCCTGTTGGCATATATTTGTTAAATAAAAATATTTTGACATCTTGGCGCCTTCCTAGGTAATAATTTGTTGTGTACTATTCTTTGATAAAATCATACCCATAACGTCGTAAAAGAGAGAGGGAGGGTGCCTGGGGGAGGTGTTTTTCTGCTTTTGTTAGTGATAAACCTGCCTGCTGATGCCTGGTCTCATGTCGTTCCACAAGACCCTGTGATGTTCTTCCCCATGTGAATTCCCCACCATGAAATGCCGCTCTTTTCTGTTTCACTCTCAGATCACCAGCGTAATCAACCCAGCGTTGGACAAATATTTTCCGTCAGACTCTGGAGTGAGAATCATAGCTGAGCCCGGTAGATATTATGTTGCATCAGCTTTCACACTTGCAGTTAATATCATTGCCAAGAAAATTGTATTAAAGGAACAGACTGGCTCTGATGGTATGTATAAAGGACGAATCATTGCCTGTATAACTGAAAGCTAATGCAAAAAGCAGTCATTAAGATTGTTGATCTGCCTTTCTAGATGAAGATGAGTCGAGTGAACAGACATTTATGTATTATGTGAATGATGGCGTCTATGGATCATTCAATTGCATACTGTATGATCATGCACATGTGAAACCCCTTCTACAAAAGGTAACTTCTGAGCATACTGTATACAACAATTAAGATAACTGGTCACAAGTATAATTAAGTAGTACTTTCTCTCTCTCTCTATAGAGACCTAAACCAGATGAGAAGTATTATTCATCCAGCATATGGGGACCAACATGTGATGGCCTCGATCGGATTGTTGAGCGCTGTGACCTGCCTGAAATGCATGTGGGTGATTGGATGCTCTTTGAAAACATGGGCGCTTACACTGTTGCTGCTGCATCTACTTTCAATGGCTTCCAGAGGCCGACAATCTATTATGTGATGTCAGGGCCTGCATGGTAAGTAAGCCTGGCATGGCGATGGGGCTGCCAAGAATAGGTACCTTTCTGGATGTGTGCTGCTTGTCTAGATGAATAAGAAATTGCCTTGCCTAAGATTAAATACAAATGGATATTTTTCCAAGAAAAGTTTTAGAAAAGACTGATGAGGATATTTCTATATATAACCGGAATATATTTAAGTTAATGCCATGTGTCTTGTGGTTTCCTCATTACCAAAATGGTAATAATTCCGAAGAAACGCTTGCTTGAGAAATACACTGAATTGGCCAGGTATGGTGGCTCACACCTGAAATCACAACACTTTGGGAGATCAAGGCAGGAGGATCACTTGAGCCCAGGAGTTCAAGATCAGCCTGGGCAACATAGTGAGACCCTGTCTCTACAAAAAAATTAAATTAGTCGGGCATGGTAGTGGGCACCTGTAGTCCCAGCTATTTGGGAGGCTGAGGTGGGAAGATTGCTTGAGGCTGGGAGGTTGAGGCTGCAGCGAGCTATGATGGCACCACTGTATTCATTCCAGGCTGGGTAACAGAGAAACCCTATCTCAAAAAAGGGAAAAAAAATACATTGAATTGTTTCCTGTTGGGAAGTCAATACTCTGATGCCCAGTTAGGAGTGAGTCAGGTTTTTACTTTTTCTCTATCAGGCAACTCATGCAGCAAATCCAGAACCCCGACTTCCCACCTGAAGTAGAGGAACAGGACGTCAGCACCCTGCCTGTTTCTTGTGCTTGGGAGAGTGGGATGGAACGCCACCCAGCAGCTTGTGCTTCAGCTAGTATTAATGTGTAGATATCACTCTTGTAGCTGTTAACTGCAAGTTTAGCTTGAATTAAAGGATTTGGGAGGACCATTTAACTTAATTACTGCTAGTTTTGAAATGTCTTTGTAAGGGTAGGGTCTGCACGATGCGGCCACACAGAAGACTAGGATATGGGTCACACTTATCTGTGTTCCTATGGAAACTATTTGAATATTTGTTTTATATGGATTTTTATTCACTCTTCAGACATGCTACTTCAGAGTGCTCCTCAGCTGCTGAACAAGCGTTTGTAGCTTGTACAGTGGCAGAATGGGCCAAAAGCTTAGGGTTGTGACCTGTTTTTAAAATAAAGCATCTTGAAATAAATAGGCATTGGGATGTTTTTACAGTGTGTTCATTCCGGATGGTTCACAAGTTCCATAGAGCTCGCTCTGGGATTCTCGGAGAACAGTGAGTGGGTCCACCTACACACAGGTAGAAGCAGGACGGGCGAGACGGAAGCCCCATCCACCCACGTGCACGGTGCACATCTGCTCAGCCCAGCCAAAATGTCCAGAATTGGCTGTGAACCTGGTGTGCAGAGCCCCTGGTGGTGGGACCTACGTAGGTGGGCCTCTCCTGTCCAGGCCAGTGCCCAGGAGGTTTGGGAGGCCCTTTGAGCCTGGCCTGCAGAGACTGTGTGTCCCCTTCCACCTTCACACCCGTGAGAAGTTAGGAATGTATATAATCAAAGCTGAAGAGGGACTCCTGCCTTTCTCCAAAACCACCTTCCCCTGAGCCCTGAGTTCCAGAGTAGACAGGAGCCCTCCTGTCACTGCTAGTTACGTCATGTGGCTGCCGAGTTAGCCCAGGGCTTGGCTCATCACCAAATCTGGTCTCCTGGATCAGAGTTGCCAAAACAGATTTTTCACGAGCCAGAGGTTGGTTCCGACAAGCTGGAAAGAGTGCTGTAGTCCACAGCCCTGTCTTCTGGGAGTCTTGAGAAGTTGGATGCCGGTGTGTTGGGGTAACTCTGAGCTCCCCAATGAGGGCAGTTCCCCAGAATTGAACCCATTATGTTAAAAATAGTTGGCGTTATGTACTATGTGCCAAGAAATTTGAGCTAGACAGACACCAAGGTAAATTAGGTCTTCCATCGTAAAAGGGAAGAAATTCCCAAGATGCACCCTCTTGTGGATGGGGCCTGCCCCTTTCCAGGCCTCGCTCGGCTTGTCTCCCCCCCCCCCCCCGCCCCCCCCCCACACGCATCAATAGAAGATTCCTTGTGAATCAGCTTGAAGTCACATCCCCAACAGTGACCTCTTCAGCTGGGGACCACACTTCTCTTGCAAGTTCCTAGGCTTTCCTAAGTGATTCGAAGTGTTTGCCTAGTCCCCTCCGCCATTAGGGGCTTTTCTGCCTGTCACCATGTACCTTCTTTGGCATGGGCCTCCCTGATACTGGGTCTGGGGGCTTGCTGTGCACCGTCTCCGGGCCCGGCTGGAGCACTGTTCCTGAAGGCAAGAGTCAGCCCGCTGCAGTCAGGCCCTGTGCCCACCCGAGGGTCCTGAGAAGCCTCAGGGTTGGGCGGGGAGGGGCAAGTGGGGGGCTCTGCCCTCTCGCGTGTCACCCAGTCTCATCTATCGGGTTTCAAGGTAGGGCATCGTGGAGAAAAGGCTTTTCTGAGTTCTCCCAGCTCTTTTACAGACGAGATGAAGCCCAGAGAGGCCGAGTGACTCGCCCAAGGTGAGTCAGTGAGTTAGGAGGGCGAAGAGTCCTCAGGGCCCTGCCTTGCCGGCCAGGCTCTGCTCTTGGGCTCTCGCTGAGCAATGGCTGACTAGAATGAGCCATCCTTCTCTCACCAAGGGTGATATGCTCCCAGCCCTTGCTCTCTGCCAATCCTATTCCCTGCTAGAGTGGCAGAGGCGTCCCCAAGCACCCTTGGCTCCAGAATATCACAGAGTGTGGCACCTGGCCCTGCGTTCCTGCTGTGGCTTCGATTTCGGCTGGAGCTGGACAGGTGCAGCTGGACCCGGGCCTCACCTCACTAGGCACTAGCCAGCCCCAGCCCCACGCCTCACTAGGCACAGGCACCGCCGTTGAGCTGATGCCCTCCTGACAGGGCTGCTATGAGGGAGGATTGGTGAAGCCAGTGAGAATTTTATCCATGCTCAGTGCTGACTCTAGGCTGAAGAGGGACTGTGACCAGGCGTGCTCTGCCCCTAGCCGGGGTTACCTAGGCGGAGCTGTCAGGTGACCTTCCCAGATGAGCTCGTGAGCTGGGGAGCGGGGGTCTCCAGGCCAGGACAGCTGGGGGGCAGCTCTGCATGGGAGGAGGCCTGGTGCCCTGCCAGGCAAGGGCCAGTTTGGATCTGGGTGGCTCTGCCAGGAGGGTGACCCACCTGGCCCTGGGGTGCCTGCCAGGGGCCTGGCCCCTCTAGCTTCTCACCCACCCCAGGGTTGGGCGGGCTCCGCTCCCTGGCTTGTCATGGAGGGTTGCCAAATTCAGCACAAATATAAGATACTGCACGGGACATGTCAGCTGCAAAACTGCTGCTTGATGTGAAATTCAAGTGTAACTGGGTGCCCTGTACTGTGTCTGACATTGCTATCTGGCAATAAGGCCTCTGGTCCTGGGTACTGGGAGCCTGGCTTCACCTTCTGTGTGCTGTGTGGCCCACAAGACGTCAGGGGCTCCTCCAGGCCTTAGCATCCTCCTCTGTCATCAAATGCGACTCAGAACAGAAAGCTTTTCTCGAAAGCAGGTGCAAGCAGTTCCTGGGACCAGCACACCCAATCCCTGGACGGCCCTCCCGGCTAGTGGCCACCAGGGGGCAGAAGCACCCCGCAGTGACAGCGTAGTTGGGGCAGGACAAGGTTGTCAAGTCCTTGGCCACTGGGCAAACACTGACAGCTCGACTGTCACAGGGCCGTGAGACTGGAGCATAGTCTGGACGCGGAGCTCCCGACTCAGCCACACCAGGGTACCAGGGGCTTTGAGGAGGGGCTCCAGGCAGCCCCGTCCCCCACCAGACCACTCGCCTGACCCCCAAAATGCTTCCTAAGGCCCCCCAGGTGAAGCCCCCAGCCCAACCCCTGCCCCCGCCACCCCATGTTGCAGAACCAGCCCTGTGAACAGCTGGTGGGGTCCCGCAGGCTTGGTCCTGGCTGCCCCTTGCCTGTCCCCACAGTGGCCCCCATCACCTCTGAGGTGTTCCCAATCCTCCCCTGCGCCCACAAGTGCCTGGTGACCCCACCTGGCCTCCCCTGACCACCCCTCATGGCAGGCTGAGTGGGTGGAGGGCAGATCTTCCCCGCCCGCCCTCCTGCGGGGCTGGTGCCTGGCCCCTGTCCCTCAGCCAGAGGCAGAGCCCACCAGAGGCTGCCCGAGCCACCCTCACCATCTCCACGCTGTCCTGGCTCCATACTCTGCCACCCCCACTGGGGTGCCTGACCCTAGCCCTGGGGACCCCACCTCCGGAGGTAGGAAGCTCGGGGTCAAGTCCTGCCGCTGAGGACCCTTGCCATCCTCCAAGACCCTGAACTCACTCCCTCTGCCCCCTGGCAGGCAGGATCAAGCCCGCACCCATGATTCCCTGACCACATGGTTTACAGGTGAAGACAGTGCGTGTCCAGCGCCAGGCGGCTCATTCGAGGTGGAGCTGGGACTGGCACCTGGATCTCAGTGTGTGTCCAGGGCACAGGCTCCTCCATTTCCAGCTGTGTGAAGATGGGGCGGAGCCACCGCTGACCCTTCTCCATTCATCCACTCATTCCTGAGCAGGGCTCCAGAGTGGAGAAGACAGGAGTGATTTGATGAGGTCACCGAAGGCTTCCTGGAGGAGGGGACGTGGAGGCCTAGGACAGGGAAGCTCAGTGGGGAGGGAGGCCACTGTCGGGGGGCCAGGCAGGGGACCACAGTGCCCCCAGAGCCCAGGCCCAGCCTCTCAGGCTGCGGAGCTGGGTGCCGCACCTGACCCTCCTGGAGTGAGCTGCCAGGGCTGCCGTTCAACAGCCTCATGTGGCACCCCACCAGCCACCCACCTGTGGACCCGTGTCCACCACAGCACACACAATGCTACACACACACAGCACAGTACACACCATCACACACATCCACAGTGCACACAGTCACACCATACCCCACACACCACGACACGCACAAGCACACCACACACATCCACATCACACACACACAATCACACCATGTCCCATGCACCACAACACACAAACACACAACACACATCCACATCACACACACAGTCACACCATGCCCCCCACACAACACACATCCACATCACACACACACAGTCACACTGTGCCCCACACACCACGACCTGCATAAGCACACCACACACATCCACATCACACACACAGTTACACCATGTCCACAAACCACCACACACACACACAAACACACCACACCCATCCACATCACACACACACAGTCACACCATGCTCCACACACAACACACACAAATCCACCACACACATCCACATCACACACACACACACACACACAGTTACACCATGTTCAGAAACCACCACACGCATCCACATCACACAGTCATACCATGCTCCACACACAACACAAAAGCACACATCCACATCACACACACAGTCACACCATGCCCCACACAACACACACACCACACACATCCGCATCACACATGCACACAGTCACACCATGCCCCACACACCACAACACACAAACCCACCACATACATCCACATCACACACACAGTTACACCATCCCCACATACCACACAAGCACACCACACACATCCACATCACATACACACAGTCACACGATGCCCCACACACCACCATACACACAAACACACCACACACATCCACATCACAGTCACCCATCCCCACACACCACTGCACACTCAAATACACCACACACATCCACATCACGCACAGTCACCCATCCCCACACACCACTACACATGCAAACACACCATACACATCCACAGCACACACACAAAGTCACACCATGCCCCACACACCACCACACATGCAAATACACCACACACATCCACAGCACACAATGTCGTATCATCTCCCAAACACCACCATACACACAAACATACCACACAGTCCACATCACACACACAGAAAGTCACACTATGCCCCACACACCACACAAACATCACACACATCTACAGTGCACACTAAGACCACACGTCCCGGTCACACACACACCCCACAAGACACCCACACACAGAGGCACAGAGACACTCCTAGGGGATGAGGCATTTCCTGGTCACTCTGGTCATCTCTGGGTCCTGGGAGCCCGTTTGAGCCCCAAGAGCCTGGCCGCTGCTGGGAAAGGCCATGGGCAGGTGGCTCCAGGGTGGGCCAGGGTCCTGTCCCTTCCGTGAGCTGCA